TAAGGCATTAGGAGATAGTAGCTGTTTGCTGAGATTGCAGGAAACAAGACACACCGCCTTCTTCATCTTTACCTCACTGGGAGACTGACGTTGTTTTGTTCATTAGTTTTCCTCCTCTGTTTGGGAAAACAGGCTGCACTGCATTTCTCAGGGTAGGTGAGGTTGCAGCCTTTCCCTCTGTGTCTTCAGAGCTGCCAGGCCACCCATTTCACAGCAATTGCAAAATAATATGCCTCATCTTTCAGAATTGTCACCCCTTGAGGTGTGCCAGGAGTTCCTGAGGCCCTTTGGTCCACACTGGTCAGGGGCACCCCAGCCCAGCTGTCCTGGGGAGTAGTGCATGTGATCACCTAGAGGAGATTCAAGAGTTGAGTGTCCAGGCTGGAGGCTGCAAAAGGAAGGAAGGAAGGACAGGTGGGGACCTTTGAAGAAACAAACAGAGGTGCTCTCATATCACTTCATTCCTGTGTCCCTCCCCCTGGCAGCTGCACTCTTTGGCTTTGCCATGTGCAGGAGCCCTCCGAGGGCCCAAACTGCTAGGAGGGAGATATCTCTTTCTAAGGTTGTCATTACATTGGGGACTCTAACCTTGGGTCTGCCCTGGGAAAAGACCAGGGAATGGAGAAGGCTGTGCTGTCCTAGGCACCTGGTAGAGGACTGCCCCCTAGTGGACAGGGGCTCTAAGCCAGTGTGTGGGGACTACACGCCAATGGACTCTGGGCAGGCTGCCATTCCACCTGGCCAACAGAGATCCTGGGCTTTGGGAATATTTTCGTTCTGGGTAAAGACACATGGCAGTACCTTCAGACACTCAGCTGGGCCCTGAGCTCCATGAGGATGAGATGTCAATCTCCAGTTGTGCCCTGTCACTTTTGTGCAACAGTTTGTCTCTTGCTTTGGTACAAACTCCCCTTTCCCCCTTCACAATCTCTCTATATTTAAAAAGGGAGCAAAAGAACCTAAGATTTCAGAGCCAAACTGCCCAGGATTCCGGCTTCAGCTCTGTTCCTTATAAATTGTGGGACTTCTGCCAGGACCCTTCATTTCACTGGGCCTCAATGTTCTGCTTTTTAACATGAGGCTGATTGAACCAGTTGAATTTGTCAACTTTATGTGTGATCAAACACGGTTGGATACTGGCAATTTTATCAGGATAAGCATAAAAAGTCCTTCATAATAGGACTATAGTGGGAACTAGCATGCAGTGGGACGGCAAGTAAAAGTTGCTGTCTCCTCTGCCCTTGGTCTCCTGGGAAAGCTTGAGCCCTCCATGGTGAGGAGAGCCCCTCCCTCCTTGTGGTCTCTTTTCCAAGAGGGGGAATGGACTTGTGTGGTTGACTATCCAGATCTTCTTAGGGGTGCTGAGGTCTCTTAGGTGGGGTTGGTGGAATGAGTAGAAAGGGAAATAACATTTGATCTGTACCTACTATGTGCCAGGTTGCTCTGGTTACAAAATGGGGAAGCATACTTCTTGTCAGGTGGCTAATAAAGCTCCTTAACAGAAGCTGGCCCATCCAATTACACCCATTTGCTCAAAGAACCAAGATGGAGACTTAACCAAAAAGAGTTCCAGAAGTGGGGGCCCCAAATCATTTATATCTATCTATCTATCTATCTATCTATCTATCTATCTAATTTCCATCTGTCTCTTCATCCTTGACCTGGGAGGGAGCCAGACAACTCTGCAACATGGGTATTACTCACATCGCCTGCTGTACAGCTGAAGGAACTGAGGCTCAGACAGTTTAAGCAATCCTTGCATATGTACCCTCTCATAGATTGCAGAGCTGGGATTTGAACTCAGGGCAATTATATACTTTGCTGGCACGTGGAGGATCATTGGGCAATACTCTTCCCTTTTTTCACATAGCAGGATGGCTGTATCTATGTTACAGGGGAACTTGTTCTTGATTCAAGAGACCCTGAGGTGATCTGAGAGCCAGGCCCATAGTCCCTTCTTTGGTGTAAAGGCTCCAGGTGCCAGGTGACCCACTCCCTTTATAGCCACATGGTCTCACTCTGGTCATTTCTAACCTTGGATTCTTTAGTTCCAATTGCTGAAGTCAGGGCTGTGCCATGATAGCCTCCCAAGTCCCTGGGGTCACCTGGATCCTTTTTCCCTCCTTATCTGGTTCTGTGTAGGAGTCTCCCTCACTTCCCAGCACTCGCTGTGAAAAAAAATCAGCTTTCTTGCTGACCAGGAGCTCAAGGATTTGAATTGCTGTTGCCTTGCCCCTGGAGTGTGTTTCTGGAAATCTGCAGTCCCTGTGAACATAGGGCCCCTCCAGGCATAAATTTGTGGAGTCTGCTCCAGGATGGCTCTTCCTAGCCTCTACAGCTCTGGGGAAAGATGCAAGGGCCAATGGATAGTTTCACTTCTTTCCTGGCCCCTAGTCATGTGCATCCTACTTTATTGCTCTCTCAAACCCTCTGTCCTGTTTCCAGAAGCAGCTAAAAGGGCTTAACAGCTGATTTGGGCTCAGGCATCCATGCAGTCTAGTCAGTGGTGTTGGAATGGTGTGTTAACATCTGCAAGTTAACTCTTCATCAGTTCTCTGAGAAAGGAGCTGCAAGCCAGGCTGACTCCCAATTCTGCCTTCTTCAGAGCCCTTATTCTCCTGTTATAGCCCTCTCCGTCAATCTGTTCTGTGTATCCAAATGATCTTTCTGGAATGCATTTAGCTTGCTGGCACCTTTTTAGTGGCTTATCTAGCATCCCTCTCTTACCTAGCATTCTATCTCTCCAGCCTCTTCACTTGCCACTCCCTTCCACACACCCTGGCTCCAGTTATTCTGAACTCCTCCCCTGGAGGCTCTCCTTTTTTCTGCCTCTGCTCCTTGAATTCCCTCCTCTTCTTTGTCTATTTTTATGGGTGACTTGTCTGCAGTCTTGGAGCCTAAGATCAATGCCACTTCTCTCATCTCTTTGCTCCTTCTCTCATCTCCCAATTCACAGGCACCCCATTCACACTGGTTTTGGCAATAGCAATGTGTCCTTGAGGTCCACCTGCATTCCTAGAGGTCAGTTTTCCTGGTCTGGGATGGCCATGGCTATATGAGTCATCTTTTCAGCCCTTGCCTTCACACTAGGGCTTCACACATGTTAATTGAGTAGATGAATAAATGAAGCAGTGACTATTTTCTGGATCCCTCTCTACCCAGTAGCTCCCCTCTGATCATGCTAGAGCAGCTGGCAATTTTGATTTGCTGGTGTTGCCCCTCACTGATGATCTAGCTCTGCTCTGGCTAATGGTCATACAGATCCTTGGATGTCTATCCCATTTGCTGCATCTAAGGCTAGTACATCAGTGGCAGCTGTGGATTGCTTCATGTGTTTGGTCCTGTGAACTTTATTTTGTCACGTTTAACTTCAAATGGCCCTTATGGTAGAAAAAAAATCATGGTGCTGGCAAAACCATCATGCATCTTGAGATCTGGGTCCCAAATAACCAGACTGTAAGCTGTCAGGAAAGTTCCTGACTTGACCTTATAAAATGACTCATTTCTGTAAGTCAAACAAGACTTACTCTATAAGTCAAATGTATATTGAATAACATTATGACAGCTGAGAAATAATTACTGATCTCTGGTTAATTTGGCCTTACTCTGTAAGAATTATGTTTAACTTGGAACTTGATCATGAAGAAGATCGCTATGTTAAAAACTAAACACGATTAATATATGGGAATTATTGAACATCTTAAATAGGAATTTATGCTATGAACAGTGTTTCTCAAAATAGGACCTGGCAATCATGTGCATCAGAATCTTTTAATGCACTTGTTAAACTACAGATTCCTGGGCCCCATTTCAGACCCACTGCATTCCAGAATGAGGGGCCCTGGAGTCTGTACTTTTAGTATGTCCCCAGGGTAATTTTCATATTTAATGAAGATTGAGAACTGTGAGCCTGTGTCAACTAGAGAACCTGTGAACTTGTGTGGTAAGTTGTAATGATATATGTTGTAATAGGGTGGGTAACTCTACATGTCAAAGTGTCCATCATTGGCATTACTTCCTGGAGGCTCTGGAGTACAAGTTCAGGGGTCCCTTGTGCTGAGGAGGCCCCAGGAAGAATGAATAGCCTGTGGCAGGGCTTGGAAGTGTGGAACAATTTAGTGTATTTAGGAACTACAAATTGCATCAGGTGACTTGAGCATACACATGGTGTGAGCTCCAGGGAGAATGATAGGCAGCCCATGTCCTCGGCCAGGACTGTGTGCACACATGGTGGCAGCAGGAAGAATCTGGTGTGCTGGTGAGCTAGTCTTTGCATACCAGAAAGTCATCACCTTTGCCAAGTGTCACCTGAGCAATGAGACTGCCGGAGAAGGTAGGGACTGAGACTGGGAGGGTGCATTTTGTGTTGAGCCTCAAGGAGTGGTTCTGCCCTAAAGGGCATGAGGTGTGAGGGGAGGCTCGCAAAGTCACTGTGAACAGCAACATTTATCGCTATCTCTACTTGGCTAAAATGCAACAAAGAGTTTTCTGGGTAGAATTCACTCCCTGAACAATTCTGCCTCTGAAAACTCTGCACACGATTCTCTAACTTGTTTATCATCAAAACAGATTGGAACGCTGAGGTCAGAGGGAATGTGTGGAATAAATTCTGGCATCAAACAGATCTCATTTTGTACCTGGGACCCATTACCTATTAGTTGTGTGGCTGGGGGCAAGTTGCCTCACATCTTTGAAATGGGTTGATGCCTACATTTCAGAATAAACTAGCTAACATATGCAAAACACCATGTGATCCCCAACATGCAAAAGTGCTTCCTATAGCGTAATGTTTATTAGATGCCAGTCTCTTCCCTTGAGCCTTAGGTGACAGCTCCTGTTGTCCCAAGGTGATAGCCATGGGAGAGAGAAGCAGCCAGAACCTTCTCCCTGGATTCCATACTGGAGGCATGATCCCTGAGTCCTATTTGTTTGCCTTGCAGGCATCACATATGAAGTGGGCCCCTTAGTTCAAGAGCTCCTGGAATCTTCTCGAATCCACCATGAACACCTCTCACTTCCTGGCCTTGCTCTTCCCAGGATCTTCACAGGGTGAAAACAGGAGCAAACTCAATGGAGTTCTATATAACTTCTCTGACCACTGCCAGGATTCTGTGAACCCAATGGCTTTCATCATCACCTTCTACAGCATTGAGACCATTGTGGGGGTCCTAGGAAATCTTTGCCTGATATGTGTGACCCTGAAGCAAAAGGAGAAGAACAATGTTACCAACCTTCTTATTGCCAATCTGGCCTTCTCTGACTTCCTCATGTGCCTCATCTGCCAGCCACTCACAGTCATCTACACCATCATGGACTACTGGATCTTTGGCAAGGTCCTTTGCAAGATGTCAGCCTTTATCCAGTGTATGTCAGTGACAGTCTCCATCCTCTCACTTGTCCTTGTGGCCCTGGAGAGGCATCAGCTCATTATCAACCCAACAGGCTGGAAGCCCAGCATCTCCCAGGCCTACATGGGAATTGTGGCCATCTGGCTCATTGCCTGCTTTCTTTCCCTGCCCTTTCTGACTAACAGTATCCTGGAGAACGTCTTCCACAACAACCACTCCAAGGCTCTGGATTTTCTGGTGGACAAGGTGGTCTGTACTGAGTCCTGGCCCCTGTACCACCATCGCATTATCTATACCACCTTCTTGCTTCTCTTCCAGTACTGCATCCCTCTGGGATTTATTCTGATCTGCTATGTGCGCATCTACCAGCGCCTGCGGAGGCAGGGGCGTGTGTTCCGCAAGGGCACCTACAGCTGGCAAGCTGGGCAGATGAAAAGGATCAACTTGATGCTTATGGCAATGGTGGCTGCCTTTGCAGTATTCTGGCTGCCCTTCCATGTATTCAATACCCTGGAGGACTGGCATCATGAAGTCATCCCTGTCTGCCACAGCAACCTCATCTTCTTGGTGTGCCACCTGATTGCTATGGCCTCTACCTGTGTCAACCCATTCATTTATGGCTTTCTTAATACCAACTTCAAGAAGGAGGTCAAGGCCCTGGTGCTGACCTGCCAACAGAATTCCCCTTTAGAGGAGTCTGAGAATCTGCCCTTGTCCACAGTACACACAGAAGTCTCCAAAGTGTCTCTGAGGCTAAGTGGCAGGTCCATCCCCATTTAACCAGGTTATGGGCTTCTCTTTGCCATGTTTCTTGCCAGGACTTTCCATTTAACTAAGTGCACATGCTGCAAGCTGTGGGTGGCATCCCATCATTCCTGGATTTCAGGTCCCAATAGTCTGCCAAGAACCTGTTTTTGCATCCTTTTCATTGTGAAGTATGACATTCAGATGGTTCGGCTATTTGTTTTTGGAAGAATTCTGAATCTAAACTCTACAGATCACAGTGAACCTTGTGACTTGAGCTGCAGGATGCCAGAGCCGGAGATGTCTGGCTATAACAGGAAGGGTTCACTATAGTAACTCAGTAACAGATGCCTGTCCTGGGAAACCAGGGATTTTTTCCAACCATAAACCTTGAGGCCACTGTGGAGTGAGGAAAGTAGCACTTGGAGATAGAGCTCTGAACTTTGGTCAACCTTTGCTCCCTGGGAGAGATGTGTGTGTATGTGCTTTGCAAGTAGTAAGAATTCCATAGAGTCAAGGCAGTGGAATTGTCATACAATTAGCACAGCCTGAATCCAGCTGAAAAAGATGGATCTTGTCTTAAGTTCTCAATGTCCTCTGCAGAAAGAGTTCCACAGTTCGCATCTACTCTATTCTTTTGCTCTTTCACTGCATCTGCTACCTTATATGGACAATAGCTTGAAAGCATCTCTTTTTGATGAAATTGTCAGCACATTGTGAATGACAATTTTTTTTTGTGTGTGTGGTGCTGGGGATCTAACCACAGCCTTGAGCATGTGAGGCAAGCACTCTACCAACTGAGCTATATCCCCAGCCTGTGAATGACATCTTTATTTCCTTAGAACTCATATCCCCCATGCCTAGGATGGGCTCTGGCATAGGGAGGCAGCTCCAGAAAAGTTTTCCATTGCAAATCAATGGTACAGTGCCACTTGCTGCTGAGGGTTAGACCATAGCTCAGGTCACTTGCCTATGGTCCAGCATAGAAAGGGGTCAGGGGTCAGGCTGCTGTACCCATAGTCTTTCCTGCCTTCCAGGACCTCTCTTGTCAAGGAAAGTGGACATAAACTCTGTGGCTCTCCCTTGTGCTGACCCACTTTGTTTCACATAGTCCTTAAGGCTATGTCTATAGCCTCTTTCATCCATGCCCTGACTACTGAGATGACTTGCCCTGAGTGATAAACCATGGTTCTTTCAAAGTGTTCCCAGGACATTAGCATCCCAGTGGCCTTTGACAGAAGTAGGGGCAGGGATTCCTGATTCTCACTTAATAAGGCCCTGACTGACAGGAGCAGGGAGAAAGCACTTGCTATTATCTCCCCTATGGAGGTCAAGGCCCAGTTCCCTTCATCTTGAACCAGATCCAAGGCTTGTATGTGGACCTATATCCTGTTCTTAGAAAGACATATCAGAATTGCCCCTGGGTTACCTTGGAAGTGATGTCCCAGCCTGGCTCTTCCTACTTAGACCTCCAATGGAATGGACATGGCTGGATACACTGTGGTCCTGTGAGGTAGGGTATTCAGTGCCAGGGTCCTCAAGGATCCTCATTGTGAGAAGACCAGCATTGACACTACACGGATAATCTTAAAAAAGGGTCAGGCAGTAGCAGACTGAACAGTCACATGGTATCTTTTGTCCTGACCAAAGAACCTGTGCAACTGACTCCTGAGACAAGGGCTGTTTGAGTTATCTGTTCCCTTCCTGGAACTTTTTGTCTTGTCTCAACTTTGGTCACATCTCCCATCTCCCATTCAATTTTCTTTTTCACATTATCATCAAGCTGTGGGGGGCATCCCATCATTCCTGGATTTCAGGTCTGGAGCCACTCTTGGACACAGCTTGTGCTTGTCCTCTGGTGCAATCTGTTGCTGATTGTTTCATGTGATCATCTGTCAAAAAAGCCCAGACTCTGGTATCCATCCTGGGAAGATATCATTGTCCAAAGAATTGAGGCCTCAGTCCTCTCCAGATACCATGCAAGTGCCTGAAGTTTGCTTCTCTTTATAAATCCCAATGGTGCGAGATGCTTGAGAAAAAATAGACTTTAGGGTGATGGCATACTTCGGAATAGGGGCCCCAGATTGAGTATCTGAAGGTGCTTGGTATTTGGAATTGGGTGGTGGGTGGAAGCCTCACTGAGAATCTTCTGTGCTCCTCTTCCCTTGTTTAATGTGGAACAACCCACCTGGATGGCTATATCCTGTTCCTGGTTCCTAATGATCCCAGTTGCTTATGTACCAGACCATAGACACTTGCTATCCAAAGTATGGTCAGAAGACTAGCAGCCTCTGCCTTTCTCAGAACCTGTCAGATATGTCAATTTCTTGTTGTCACTCCAGACCTACTAAATAAGAATCCACATTTCATCAAGATCTGTAGCTTAATTTCATGCACATTAAATTTAGGAGTCTTGTCTCTAGAAACAGATTGACCTGAAGCCTAGAGTTACTGGGTGAGCACCTGAAAACACCTACTATTGGATTTGTTATTACCTGTTATTACTTAAAAAATGACTCAATTTTGGTTGTTCGTCTTATTTCTGGTTGCATGTGGATGTGTTGCTTGTGATGCCTTTTCATTCTTTGCCAAATGCATGTTTGCATAGTTCCAAGCAGAGAAAATGTGCCCATTTGCATTCTGCTTTGTTTCACTTAAAAATATATCAACAGTTTTCTACCTTGCTGGGTATAATTTTTGAAGTTTAGAAATTGCTTGCGTGAAGGTTGATACCTTTCAGCATCTCTCTCTAAATCCAGAAGGGCCAGATAATTGACCCTTGCCAACTGCAGTGGGAGTTAACCTTCCTACAGAGAAGCATCATGGTTGGGATTGGGGACTCACACCCACAAGACTGCCTGGAAACCCTCAGAGTGCATCCTGGTTGTGAAAGTGTAAATCTGCCTAAATCCAGCCCTTCCTTTTTTAAGAAATGATATTGACTTGTTCTCTCCAGTATAAAAGTAATCATATTCATTCTTGAAAATATGAGTATATACAGAAATAAAGTTTTTTAAAAAGGAAATTATCAGTAGTTCCACCATCCCCAAATAATCACTATTTACATTTTGAGGATTCATTTTTTAAAAGTTTGTATATGTATAATTACATATGCGTCTCTTTCTAAAAATATGGTTGAGCTCATGTGTGTATGTTGGCATTTATATATAATTTTAAAAAACTATTTTATGCTTTTTTTGTTTCAAGTTCTAAGACATTTTATTTGTTTATTCATTTACTAAACAAATATGTCGGATGCCATTCCATCTACTGGAGATACAATAGTAAATAAAATAGGCATTATAGCTCATTGACTAGATAGATCTTATGTTCTTGATCATCAACCGTTATGCCAGATTGAGTGTTTTCTAGACCTACTGCATGTAGTTCTGTGATGAATATCTACATAGAAAACATTTTCTGCATTTGGAATGATTTACTTAGGAGTGATTTACAAAAGTGGAATAGGCCAAGAGACATAGACATTTTCAAGGCTTTTAATTTCTGAAGAGGCTGGAACAATTTGCATTCCCTAATGTCAATTTCATTGTATCCTGGCCACTCTTAAGGATTTACTATTAGCTAAAAGTCTCTGTCCTGAATTACTTGGACTGGGGATGTCACATTTCCTGCCCCCAAGTTCCACAAAGCCCTGTGGGGCACTGAGCTTCCCAAGCTAAGCTTGTGGTCTAAACATCATCTAAACAAGGATACTTGAGTAAGAAAGGCACACTATTAATAGTCACCCTAGAACAACAGGCAAAACCACCCCTGAAACTGAAACTTGAGGCCATCCTATGTAGATAAACCTAATCTCTTTACATAGATTAAATTCAGCGCCTATCATTGTCTGGCCTCACCTACCTTTACAGTTTCTTTGCATCCTGACCCTATCACAGGGTCTAATCACAGTGAACCTGCAGTTCATCCACATAGGGCTTTATTCTCTTTGCATATTTGCTCCTGCCATTTCTATCTCCTCACTCCACTCCACCCCCAATCTACCACCAAGTCTATAATGCCCCCTCACCTGTCTATGTTACCATGAATCCTACCCTTCCTTCAAAACACAACTCCACTGGCACAATTTATTACCATGTTCATCCAAAAAATAGTGACAGCTTCTTATGTATCAGGCACATGATAGACAAGACTGAAAAAAATCTACTATTCATGGAACTTTAACTCATGTAATGTAATTGTAATAACTGGTCCTGGGGATGGGCACAGAGCGATGGGCTGGAGCGTTACTCTGTTATATGTTTGGGGGGACACATCCACCATCCCATAGATGTCTAAGCTCCTTGAAGGCAAAACCAAAGAGGCTCATAAAACATCCCTTTATCCAAGGGCCTATCATATGCCCTTGGATAAAGCAGGCACTCAACTAACATGCGCTAAGTGAATAATTAATTTTAAAGAAGCTTATTTGTTTAGTCTGAAGATTCTCCATGAACTGTGTAGGATCAATCAGTGGGGAACCTGAATATCCATCCATCTTAGAGAACTCTCACCCAGGTAATTTGCCCCTCACCTGTCTTCTGGAGCTTGAGGAGAGTGCTTGGGAGTGTGGCTGTATAATCATGGCCTGGAAGTTCCTCCTGGTTTAAATGTCACCACTTACTTAAAACTCATTCCCTCCAACTCTGAAAAGGTTTATCAGGGCAATTGTGTGCTAGGCCAAAGCTCTTAAAATACATATGCTTTCATTCATAAAGCTCTGAATGAGGTATTTGATTAGTTATTCTTCTGACTGCCAAGGAAACCAGGCTGAAAATAGGGCACGTTTTCAGAACAAATAACTCCAGCTCACTGATGAAAACCCCGAGATACCATATCTCCCTTAACAGGTAGTCTGCTTTGTGATGGCCAGCTGCCTGGGCCACCTTGTAAATGTCATGTGTAGCCCCTTCTTGGTTTTGTGTGGGAGGTTTATCTACTTGGGCTTTCCTAAAGAGAAGGCCTTTTTTAAAAAATGTTTTTTTAAAATATTTATTTTTTAGTTGTAGTTGGACACCACACCTTTATTTCACTTG